GTATCCCGATTGACCCTAGAGAGTCCAGTGATCGTCTCTCGGGTTGCCTCGGGCTTATGAAAAATAATATACCCGCTAATACGTGTTTTGATCCTGAATCTGTATTTGCTAAATGCCGTCATTTTTTAGAGTCACGCAGTGAAGAATATTAAATATTCGATGCGTACAAAAATATTGCATTACGTATTCCATAACTCTATTTTAATCATCTCTGTTCAGTTCGCTATCATAATATTTTTTTATCTAAGGATCACATCGTGATATGTTCCGTATTAATTCCATAGTGTTAGATTTCTTAATTATATTTTAGCAAAGTGGTCGGTTTTTACCTAATCTTTGAATTTGACCCATTACCTATTTTCATTAATCAAATTTAATATGAATTAATATGCCATAAAATCTAGTCTCAGCCTAACTTTTAATCTGTTTTCCTTTATTTAATGATTCAACTTAAATTAAAGCATAATTTATCTGTAAAAATGTTTATGAGACAATATAAAAGTCGCTCACATTATCACATTAACTATCGTTTAAAAATTGTACATGTTCGAAACTATGATTGCTTTCTTTTTTTCTTGTTACAGTTAATCAATTATATGAGTTGTGAAAATTAATACGTATTTAGCAATGTAAAGTAATAGTTAAGTAATTCCATTTAATCGATTATAAATTAAGTACTTAAGTTTTGAATGTTATTAAATCTAAAGTTATATTTTCCTTAAGTTCTGTTATTGTTTAAATTCATAGAGTATTGAATTTTATATCAATGTTTGATCAGACAATACTATATTACGAAAATATCCCAAACACATTCTTTAATGCAGTAGTGCAGTGAGTTTGTTACGATTATTTCGAAAACTAACAGAAATGCACCGGTTTTCTCAGAGGAAAGAGTTGTTCGCAATGATGACCTTAACAATATATTTCAAAGCCATCAAAATCGGTGTTGCCTATATCGTCATAGTATATGTACATATTCATTAATTAATTTACATATGCATAATTTGTAAACCAATGAATTCTTAAACTTGAAATTTAATATTTAGTTTTTTTTCATCAAGTACTATCAATATATGTAAAAAAGAATTTAAAAAAAGTCCTGTCCCGTAGTAAAGTTCAAACATTTATTTTTTTATCTACTAATTCAACACTGAGTTGAATTTTGTGTTATAGCGCTGAAACAAAAAATTTCCCCAAGATGCGGCTTATAGCGTTTAAAAAGCATGAACTGAACTTCTTATATTGAGTTTTTAGTTAAAATCTCAGCATACTTTTTCGAGTATTGCAATCTTATTGAATTTTTCATAACCACGGAAACCACAAAAATGCGCAAAAATTAGTGTAACAAAATGTTTTAAATAAAAATTATACATCGTTTGTAAGCTTGAATTTTTTGATTTTTTGTTGTAAGAATCAAATCGATATTTATTTCCAAACGGAAGTTATAACCTCCGAAATATTTTGCCAAATATGTACTTTGAACACTTCCCCCTCTACTTTTTTAGAGCCCAGAAGAAAATTACGCTAGGAATAGATAATCCACATAGAGGTTTCCGAATACGCAAAGTTTTAACAAAATCGAAGTGGGACAAGAACATATGATTTTTTAGTAGGGTTTTGTTGCATATAAACTTTTTCATTAACGATACTCTATTTATTTCTGTATTAATTTCAGTATACATAAATCGTCATTCCAGATCAGTCGTTTGCCGTATTTTAAAGAGTTTCATTCCGGATCGTAATTTCGGATCAAACATGAATGTCACGAGTGAGATTTATGTTTTGCAATCATCTTTCTTTGCCATTTCTTAACTATATTAGTCCGTTCGGCGAGCATCGGCACTTATCGATATGACTTAAGTATTGTCGAACTACATAAATTGTTATGTAAATGGTTAATTAAGCATCATCATAATTCGTTAATGCAGATCTTACAGTAATTGTCCGATATATTATTGGGTATAGGAATTTAATTTAAAAGAAAATCATTACGTATTTTCGCACATTTCTAAAGATTCTCGAAAAGTTCAAGTGAAAATTCTGAAATACGGTGCCCGGAATTTGATTTAAACACATGTCTGAAATAAATTATACTATGTCCATAATATAGTAAATCATTTGAATTCTTGACAGATATAGACAAAATTTTCATTTGTATAAATGTTTAGAATGATGAATGTTTAGTATGAACATTTTTGTAATAAAATAAACTTTGTTTTCCAAAAACGTTTTACCTTCACTCGCATGTGAGGTTTCTGCTCTTATCTGTATTCTTATTTTATATATTCTCCACAATATCTATTGTATGTAAAGATCGTAAGTTGAATTTTTAATTTATCAGAATTTTAAAATATATTCTATCAATAAAATCTTTTTCTCTCTTTTACTGTTGCAATACGTTAGTATATTAGGAGAATACATAAGACTTCAATTGATTTATTCTATTTATTTTCTTTGTATATTTTCATTAATACCAAACATACCTTTCTTTATTGCTTAAATCGTAATGAATAGAATTGTTCCAGCTATCTTCAATGGAAGTTATTCCAAATCGGCGAATAATTAAGTAACCGTTAATTTGTATTGTATCTACCATAAAAACCCATATTTTATTAATTTATAAGAAAATTTGTTGTTAATTAAACAAACTATTAAGTATAATGAAAACAATCATGGTACAACGAGACTGAAATTCTAAGTGCACTGTAAAAGTAGTGACAAATTGGTTTCTACAACAGGAATATTTTTCTTAATAGAATGATTAGCATAACTATACAAAGTCAGCAGAGTAAAGAAAATGATTGAAATGTGATAAAGATTCATGAAGCATTTACGAATTATGAAGTACTAGAGGAATTTAAAATAATGTTATATTGTGTGTTATATTGTATACTATTGTATAGAATAATAATTCAGAAGATATTTGGAAGAAGGGCGTTTTTTTCAAAATATAGATACCTTCTTCCCGATTATTACATATTTTTAATTTACAGACTTCATTATATACATCTCCAAATTGCCAATAATTTTACTGTAATATTTTACCTAGATATTAAAAAATTAAACGCCCTTTTTCTGTTTGTTACTTTTCAAATCAGAGAGAAGACATGGTTTAAGACATTTTAATATTAATTTGTATATTTTTTGTACATATAATAATACCAATAACATTGATGTGTAACAGATTGCAGTTTTTTTACATACATCCAAAAAATGCAAGGGAATTCAATAAATGTTTGTTGTATAAAGTAGAAACTACAAAAATGTAGTCTGCAAACTTCTCATTAAAATCTTATCCTACAATTATGTTAAAAGCTATGCAAAGATTAAAGATATTAAAAGTTTGTTACCATGTCTAGATAAAAATACTTGCTAAAATACTACAACAAATTATTCATAATGAAGTTTGAACATAGAAAAATTTGATTTTTCTTTATTTTGTTTATTTTTACTATCATTTACTAACAATGTTTAGATTCATGTCATATTCTCATGTATTTGTTTTGTATTTTATTATGTTCTTCTTTAATAGTGTTATTTAGGAGAGTATGATTTAATAAATTTTGTATAATACAATATCTAATAAAATGTATCAATGTTCAGTTTCATCACTTCAATGCGTATTTACATTTTTGTGTGTGTTATTGTGAGTATTACATACGCGGTAATACTTCTCTCTTCTAATAAAACTTTTAATAAAGATCAATTATTTCACCTCTGAGGCATTTGTAATTACTACAAGACTTCAAAAGAAGTGTCAGATAATTTCTTTGATACTTCAGCTTACTTTTCTACATACCTACCTCAAAAACGATGGTGACATAAGGAAACTGTTAAAATAATAATCTAGTGGCATTTTATGTATAAAATTGTTCAATGTTAAACATTTGTAATTTTGTAATTGTAAAATAAAAGTTTCGCTCATAATCTATGTTAACCCTTTGCATTCGAGAGGTGACTCTCAGTCACCGCTTGATTTAATACAACAAAACTATGAAGTTGAATATTTAGTATTTTAAATTAAAGTTCGTGTTGCTATGTGAAATATTTAAACAAAATAGCTTTGATCCTTAATTTATCTGTGAATTACCTTTAAATTAATTTCAAACAATGTCGTCTGTGTCTCATCGGAAAATGTTGAATATTTCCAATGGAAATTTTTTGAGTGCAAAGGGTTAAAACTTCGACTGCCACGTCACTCGAATTTAGATGATACCATTTTTACCAAAGATTGAAAACGTTCTGAAAATAACTGTTTGTTTCAAACAGTTTCTGTTATGTATGGGTTCCGACTGAAATAGATGTGGAGAACCGAGATGAAGGCATAACTGTCATTAACTATATCGGTTCAAAGTTATATCGGTTTTGTTTCTGATTCTTCGTAACTGATATTATATCGATTCTAAATAAACGGAACCGACACCGAATATGACTCTGAACCGATATGCATACTTAATAATAGTTATGAGTTTATTTTGATTCTCCATAACTGTTTCAAGCACCCAAATCGATATTGTAACTGTTTTCAACCCTTGTTTCTTACATAAACTTAAGCAGTAATTTCTTTGGTGACGTATCGAACGAATCGAATGTTGTTGGATGTATGAGATATAAGAAAGATAGTAAAGCAATCGTTATAAAGAATATCTATTTTTTAGTTTCTGCTTTATTAAGACACCTATTTCGATTGCATAAGAGTTTTGACAAGTGTTTACTTAACAGTCAAAGTGTTAACTCGAATTTTATAATGCTTTATATTATGCTATAAAAAGTTTCTATTATAAAAATATTGTACGTATTTCATTATATTGTATTTTTATACATATAATTAAAATACATGCTTCCATGCAAATGTTGGAAACATTATTTTTATGTTACTGAAACATTAGAAATGTCGTTCGCATTTGAGTCAGCATCGTACAACATGAAAGCGAAGCGTCTGATTTGCTACATGGTAAATGCAAGTATCTATTACTGTAGATATGGAACGTGGCGCTTACCTGTCAATGGAAATCGCCATTAACGTGAAGACGCTGGCACATATAGTGAGCACTGCAATGAACTGGCAGATCTTGCAATAGAGGGTGCCGAAAGGCCAGTGGCTATTCAACATGTAGATGTAATTGACGGTGACGTTCAAAGTAGATGCCATCGCGTCCGCGATACTCAAGTTTACCAGAAAATAATTGGTGACTGTGCGCATTCTTTTATGCGCCAAAACAATCCAAATCACTATTAGGTTGCCGCTGGTGGCAACGATAATTATTCCCGCGAACAGTAACGTCCAAATCATTTGCCTCCACCATGGAAGTATAAATTGATTTCTCAATTGTAAATCCGTGATATTGCTGGTGTTGTAATAGGTGTAATTGTCTATCCATAGCGTGGTATTCCAAGGATCGAGCGTAGTGTTCGCAAAGACGTCGATAGCCTGCATGTCTTCCATTAATATCTCAGTTAACTATTTATCAGAAACAATATATCAAGCGATTTAGTTCGAGAGAAATGATTTTATTTTATATTTGTATATTCTTATTCAAGTTTACGTGTTACGTTGATAACATTTAAGTTAATATATAAGTGTACACTTCCTGAATTTTGTTGTATTGTTTCGTTAATAAGAAAACCATTATTTTATTATTTATTATTTATTATTTATTATTTATTATTTATTATTTATTATTTATTATTTATTATTTATTATTTATTATTTATTATTTATTAAATAAGATAATTAATATGACAAAAATTGAATGGAAATAAAAATATTTTAACCGATTCTTAAAAATAAATTTAGAGTTTCACGTTTATGTAATTTAATATTTGTGTATTACGTTGTGTGGCGTGTAATGGTTACAAATATTCTTTAATTTCATATTTTATTTATTATTATGACAATATATTGAAACTACGCGACGTTGATATCATTATAAAATTAATTTCACATTTTCATTTATTTAGTTACTTAATGGCTACTCAAAGCCTATGGAATCGCTTCACTGTTTTTACACAAATGCAGATGCAATAGAAATATTACGATGTCAATGATGTTCACTTTCACTTTCTTGTCGTATCCTTAATAGGAAGGCTAATGCCCTGCTAGACTTACTTCTGGCTCTTTAAATACCAATCAACGCTATACAAACATGTCCTCTTCTTTGTATACTATCGTTTATAGTTGAATAATCAAGTCTCCAAATTCTGATTTATTTTTAAACAATTTCTTCATAGGAAAATCAGTGTTTGGTTTTCCGAATTCTTCGAAATTCTTGAAACCCAAATTTCGTTGACAATAACATCTTTTGCCAATTAATTTGAGCTAACTTTTGGTATCAAACAGCGTTAGTCACTCATAATAACCAACTAATGAACAACAAAGTTTCAGAAATAATTTTTCCTGTAATAAAACCAACATCTTTTCCATTGTTCTGTCTGTTTCTAAGATCCCGAGTTCCATGGATAATTAGCCCTGGAAAAGTTCCGGTATTGTTGAAGAAATCCTCCCTGGAATTCACAGTAAATTACAGTTGACTTTCTTCCCCGAGTCCGATCGGTGGACATCTCGATTTAGCGCGAACTTCACTCAATTTTAGTCTGTTCTTTTGTTCGTTTCCAATACGTTTGAAAATACTTAAGAGACCAGCGACGAAGACGGAGGCGAGAACTGTTGTCACGATTCGTTTTTCCTCTACTACCTCGTCCGTTTTTCCTTCGCACTTTCCCTTTTTAGTCTCTGCCGGGGGTTAACGCTTTGTGTTGGTTCTCATTCCCTGCGCGTCGTATCATCTATCTAGAATTTTAATATACATTCCTCATCGTTTTCTTGCTCCTATAAAACGATAATACCATTCACGGTTTCTTCCACTTTAATCAAGAGAGCGGAACCCTCCTTATATATTGATTCTCCTTACAACTAATCCTTGTTAAATTTTCTTCCTAATTTACTCCATACGAAACTTGCAAGGAATTTAAAGCTTGTCCATTTACTTCGACGCGCATGTAATTATATTGTTTCTATTGGAAAGGAGAACACAATTTAGGAATTCGTAAATTGCACTGCATTTTTAACAAGAAACTGGCTTTATTTGAAGTTTCATGGAAACGAAATCACTTTATACATCGATCCTTCTTACAACGATTCGTCGTTGAATTCTTTTTATAATTTTCTGCGTGCGGGATTTGCGAGAAATTCTAATTTCTCTTTGATTTCGAAGTGCATATAATTATATCGTTTCTGTTGAAACTGAGGAACGCAATTTAGGAATTCGTAGATCGTATTGCATTTTTAATAAGAATTTGGTTCCATTTTAAGTTCGTAAAACTTTATAGAAACCGTTCCACGCGGCGAATTTTGGAATCCGCCGCTTTCCGTGTTCTAGTTGTAGATGTTGAACGTTGGAGCATCTTTGTAATCTCGACTCATTAATTTTCATAGAGGATCTGGTACAAAGGAAATAATAGCCCTCCAAAAATTGTTGGTCAATAAAAGATTTCACTCGGTCGCCAGTATTGTAAATGTTGGTTTTCTAAAGATTCTCGGGAAATTATTTTCAGATATTCGTCGTTCAGAACGGGGACAAGGATGCTTCTGTTCGCCGTCACGGTCGTTTCCTCGATGCTTCCGACAATCCTCATCGGAATCAACGCCCCAGAATCGCGCGGGACACTTCTTCCTTTCGTTCGATCGAACTACATCGCTGGAAACTTTTCGTCACGTTCGCAATTTCTTCGAGAACGTTCCGTGGTTCGTTGCAACGACCAAGCCTGAAACAAGAATTGCAATAAAGGGTTACTCTTTAATTTCGCGGAAATTTTAGAATACCTGCATTTGCATGATTTTCTTATTACGAAATATATGTGCCGTATCCTCCTCACGTTATACATACATACAATCTTACACGCTAGAAATTCTTATTATGCTAATGCCCATTTACTGTTTCAGAGAGAAGGGATTCAACAGAAAAGCAAGCTTCCTGTTTTCATTAATTAATTAAATAGCAAATAACAGTGATTCACAGATGTGTGTAATTGTTTTCAGACCTTTAAGAAAGTTTGTGAAAGTCTGTATCGTTATAACCTATGCTATTGAAAGTGTCAATGTACGTAAATTGATATGAGAATTAATAGTCGCTTACAATTCTTGCGCAAAATGAAAACTACATTATTTTATTCTTCACGGAAAGTCAAAAACACTTTTTGTTTCGTTGTGGTTTCGTAATTTTTTAAGTACTTATCAATTCTTCTATTATATTTTTTTATTAGACCTTTTTATATTTATATATAAATTAGAAGACTCTAATTAAAGACGGCAACCAATTATATAATGTTTATATTTCTTTCCTTATCCGTTTTGAATGTGTATATAAAATGAATCTTATTTCACATTATATTTATCAAATCGAATTTATGTTCAATTTTATTAGAAGTATTACAAAATAACGTAATAGAAGGAATTTATCTTCAATAGAACGAGTGTCGATCTGACGATGCAATGATTGCTCGAAAATACTTTAACTATGAGAATATCATAACCATAATAGTCTTGAACCATAAAAATGTTGATGTTAAAATAACAATTTCCCACTATAGCGTTTCTTTGATTGAGTTCAAACAAAGCTTAAAGTCACTCGTATGTTGTAGTATAACGCGTTGTTGAATTCGTCTCGATATCGGCTAAAAGAATATGCAGTAACTGTTTAGAAAAGGAGCTACCTCATCGATTTAGATGACCTTGAAATATGTTGTCAAGGACATCATTCTGAACAAATTTTCTCTATACATATATGTTATTGTATCAATTAATACATAATTATTAAACGTTTCAAGGAATCGGAAATAGATGATATTTCAGTTATAAGTACCTGACAAACATAAATAATATACTACTTAATTTGGCATCGTAAAATTGAGTATAATAAAATCAGGTAGGCCAAGGAAAATAGCAGAAAAACATAAGAAACCATCACTAAGAACTATGACATACATTTTGAATCTTGATAATACCAGAAGGAGTGACGACAAGAAAAAAGTTTAAAAAAATCTACGTTCTTTTTTATATCATTCAATTGATAATATTGATAAGTAAGTATTCAGTGCGACAAAAAAGTAATAACATTAATTTTAAAAAACATTCTATTGCACAAAATACTTTATATTTACTTTCTTTAAAAAAGAACATTAACGTTTGTAGCGTATGTATAGTTGTTTTAAATATTGAAAGTTTGATTTGATATAGCGTAGTTTCCATTCAACTATTTATTAAATATTCAAGCCAAAGTGATAACATTGGCTGTTTAATTTAAATTCAGGAAGAGAGTGTTTACTTTAAATTGGAAAGGACGATAATCAATAAGTGGTACAAGCGTTTGAAAACCAGCGTGAAATGTTTACTGATGAGTACTGCAAAGGAAACACTCTTAAAAAGGTTGCAGAGATTCACTCTTTCTTGAATTCGTGCTTCGTAAATTGGTTCGTCGCTACGGCGAATCTTTACAGTTTCTTATTAGTTTCTTATTAAAGAAGTAATAGAAGGTTGCCAATTTACGTCAACGGGAAAAGATCTATCTTTCATTCCATCGAATTTTTGTATGAATAACTTTAATGTACTTTTAGATTTACTTATCTAATTTTAAATTAAAAATTGTTATTTCATATTTGTATTTATTGAATTATCTATATTTAACTTCATTAAGTATTTCTTAAATCATGCGTTCTTAAATATATTCATTTTCAAGTTATGTAACTGTATATTGAGATGTTTTAACTTGAATATAAAAATAATTATCAGTCGATAAAAAGAACGCGTGCTTCAAATTGCTTCATGTTCTATACCTATTTCAAATGTACGAAATGTATAGAATAGATAACGAAATATATTAAAATTAATTATTAAAAGTAATAGCGTAATAGTATTATTGATGTAACTCAAATTATTTATGAATTATCACTTATACGAAATTATAGTTTAATTTCAAATAGTAGCTACTGTTTTTTATATAAAAATATAATATATTTCTAGAATGGATCATACACGTATCATCAATTGTTATAAGTGTATAAGAGAATTCTTCAAAAGACTTTTGAAGATAAACTCTTTTAATGTAATTATATACATAATTATACGGGATAGATCATATGAAGGGAATTGAATTAACTGTTTGTTATTGGTGTGCGTTAGTACATAGTGAAATGTTTGTCATGTTTTCATAAAATCGGCGATATTTACATGGTGTATTCCGTGTATGTGAAACAACAAGCACAGAGCAATTAACACGTGCATCGGTTTCGATGCACCGGAAGGCCTCCTAACTCGCTGAACAATACTGTCATAAACAATGACCTCTGGGAGACACCCCTGTGTTATCAGTGCGGTTTGTTCTCGGAATCGGTCCTTGAATCAGGTTGAACTGCTCTCTGTTCAATTCGTTGTGGAGAAATCATTGCTTTTCATTATTTCTAGGAAAGAATCAGTGGATTAATATACATAAACTTTTTTCTCGGGCAACTGTCTATAAATATAAACTGCATAAAATGTTCATACGATAAATTATATGTAACCAATCGCAGTTCCATTCCATAATTATCTACACGAAGTATCCAAGAAGCACGTATACGTGAAGAGAATATAATAATATAATAACATAATAGTATAATAGTATGGAATGAAACTCCGTTAAACCGGATTATAAAACATGATCACGCTCTTTTTTGTTGTAACACTAATTACACTGTGGAACAAATTTTGACCTATGTTAGTTTTTGCAATAACCACTATGTGATTTTTATAGAGTTCCTTACCCTAAATACGAATCCGGAAACCAAATTGCTGGATCAGGTCCAGTTTTCGAAAAAACTGGGGTTTTGTAAAAACGGTCGAATTTTTCAGAAAACCAAGTGTTACGTGAAAACTAAAAACGATAGGCAGTTAAAATTTATCGCAGAAAATAAAGGGACTTGCCGAACACGTGGCTTTACAATTTTTGAATTTTGCATATCATTAAATGTTTGTAAACGATGATCAAAGTTTAGAAAAAGGTAAATGCGCATACTTTGTACGCACTTCTGTTACATTTTTACGAAAAGTGGGTTAGCCATCACGAATTTGCTGTGCACC